TTTGTTCGTTCGTGTTCGGCTCATTTTGGCTCGAACACCGTGTAGATGTAGACAATTCTTATGGATTTACATACCTCACCGCCAAAACTTCCATATTTACAGGCAGAACATTCAATTCTTTCGTAGCACACCAAAAATAGCACAATTTACTACGTTTTAATAGTGAAATCCATAGTTTCAAGTATAGGTAAAGTGCTATGCGTGTAAATATAAAAGTTTAGGTGTGAGATAAATAAATTCATAAGAATTGTGTGCTAGAAATAGAGGATTCATATACATATCACATAATTCGTATATATTTGCATATTTAACACCAAAACTTCTAACATTTACAAGTTAAGCCTCCAAAGCTTTAACTTCAACAAAATAATACAGTTAACTTTTCATAAGTGAAAAATGACTTTTCATGCATCCGATTTGATGTGATTATGACACTAAAGTATTAGTAAATATCAAATTTTAGATATTTATATATGTAAATATGGGGAATTACATATATACCACATAATTCTTATATATTTAGAAGTAACCATATCAACCAGTAAATAAAAGGCCAACCGACAAGTGCAAAAAGCTACCAGGAGGGCCAACTATGCACAGAACGTTGTAAAGCCTGAGAACACAAATCACTTCAACTGAAACTTGTGAAGTATACACTGCAATAAAAGCCTTTATGCGTATAGAGTAAATTATTAAATTTATGGGAAATGTACGAATGTAGCAACAAGTCTTATGTATTTACAAATCTCACAAGTAAACTTTCACATTTACATACATAGTATTTTGGTACTTTAACGGATACTTGAAAAGGTGCATTTCACTTTTAAAAAGGTGAAAATTGTGCTATGTTTGATGTGATATTAGATTTGTAGATATTAAAGCTTAAGTGTGAGATATATAAATAAATAAAAATTGAGTGATTTGTATGTAGACCAACTAAGATAAAATACAAAATTACATCTTTGTACCTAAAAATATAAAATTTCGGAGGCATTTACACACATACCGCACAATTCTTATAATTTAGAAATCTAAACACCTTAGCATTCATAATTGCATGCATACCAATAAAATCTTTAGCATCACATCGAAAGTATCAGCATCGCTATCTTTTTTAAAAATGAAATAGACCTTTTCATTCATAGGTTTATGACGCCAACGTGTTGTAAATGTAAATATCAAATTGTGGGTGATAGATATGTAAATACTTCAGAACTGTGTGGTATGTAAATTTTCCTTTAAATAATTGACATAAATCTCATGAAGATGAAGTTTGAACATGCATAATTAGGGGAGCCTATGCAGAAACTAAAGTACCTGAATTTTCTGGATCGCCAATATCAATTCTTTCCACCTCCAGCTGTTGTAAAAAGAGAAATGAGAAAATTTTAAGTTGTGCAAATAATAAAATTTTAAAATCAGACAGCTTATATAACATAACTAAATTAGAAGTGTTTGTGAAAATGATGTTGCATATATGTACCAGAATTATAACTTCTAAAATGTAAAATACATCCCTTTTATGCAAAGGTGAAGTGGCATATATGTAAAAATGGAACTTTGTGTTAGATATGTAAATGCATTGGAATTGAGTGATATGCATGTAAATCTTCTAACTTTACCTTGTGTTCCATACAACTATTCATATAGTTCCTTTTTTACCACACTAAACATCCCACCATTTTCTTCTAGAGCATGGTATTTCCAAAGTTACTTTTCCTTCTATTTAAGCTACTTTTCTTCTGAACTTATTCCTGCGAAACATTTACATTTATTGATCTCATTCGGCATTTTAAAAAACTTTCAATAGATTCAGTAGAAGCCATTAAATTAAAGGGACATTTACATATATACTTGCAATTCCTATGTATTTACATATCTAACACCTAAAGTTTACTTTTTTACCTTTCATATTTACACACATAGCACTCAAATTTTTAATATCACAATAAAAATACCACCATTTTAACTTTTAAAATTTGAAATACACCCTTTCATGCATAAGGTAAGGTGGCATGTCTGTAAAAATTGAAGTATAGGTGTTAGATATGTAAAAACATAGGAATTGAGTGTTATGTATGTAAATCATCCTAAATTTGAAATTCGACAAAATTAGCTGCTTGGTTCTCTAGATTAGATATTTTCTACTGCCAAACATATCAAGCACTACACTTATTTTGGAAGACTATCTGACCACTGATTTGTAAACAAGCAAAGTTCTACAACTGACCATTCCCCTTGTGATCAAAGGAGGCCTTTTATTTGCAGGCAAATTTTGTAAAGGTGTTTTCTCTAAGATTTTTTTTTTCTTGTAAAAGTTATTCTAAATATATGATTTTTATGAAATGTAATAAATGTTCAGGACAAGTGCTTTCCCACCAAATGAATGCATGTATGTATGAATCGGCCTTAAAAGGAAGAAATTAAAATAAAAGGTAGTTGAAATATTTACAATGCATAATTTATTATTACATTATTACCTTTCTTCTTGTTTTTGCATTGCAGAGTTTTGATGTGCCTTCTTATGTCTCTTCCTCAAGGCCATAGGGATGTTTAAACTTTGATAAAATTTTCTAAATTTAAAAAATTTAAGATCTTCTAAATTTAAACTTTGATTATTTAATTGTAGGATGGAAATACCGATGAAAATAACACCACCATGAAAATTAAGCCTCATGGGAAATGAGAAGATATTCTCTGCTAGAGCTCAAGAGTAGAGAAAAAGCTTTTAGAAAGTGGATTGTTCTCCTCCAACTACTCCATCAAACAAGACTTTGCAATGCAACATACCAAGAACAAAAAATCAAATCAGATGATAAATGGAAGTATTTAATAGAAAAATTAATGCATTTAAAAATATATTAATATTTAAACTTTCGCTAGAAGCTGATATTATGCTTACTTCTTATTCACATTTATTCTCTCTAAAACTCTAATCTAATTGGTTATCGAAATCATTTGTTGTTAATTTTCACTTTCATATGACTTTTCTACTACTTATTTTTATTTAAATGTATAGAAATATCATTTTTCTCATATGTCTCAAGCATCTTTTTTTTTTCTTGAGATTTGGGACATCAGCAATAAGAAGGGTAGACAAAATTAATGTCAATGGCCTAAGAAGAAAAATAGATAGAAAAAAAAAGTAATTTAGTTAGAAGTTATGCAAAAAAATTTGAGCAATATGTTAAAATACCTCATACAATACTTAAAAATGATGAGAGAGAATCATAATTCATAAAGTTGACCATTAACAAGTGGGACAAGGCTATTATGTTGATCATATACTACATTGAAATATTTTGTCTAACATAACCTATGGTGAAAATCTACCAGGTTTTTTCAGCATTCACACAATATCCAATGCTTTTTAGAAGTAATATAAGCAAAGAAAGACGAGGTTCATAGCATTACATCTTCGAAGTTTTAAAAAGTAAAAGCTAAATCATTTGATTTAAACTAAGTTAACCTAAGGAGCTCTGAGACAATGTAATCAACATATTTTCATTTATACCTGACAAGAATCTAATTAGGCCAATTGTATTAATTTGATTATGTTTAAAGAATAGTTTCTCCAAGAAAAGGCTACTTATTGTATACAAAAACTTGCTCTTTAGGGTATTCACATAGCCCGTGTCTCATACATGATTTGATGATAACAAAAGTTTTGTAGTATCAGTGTCATCTACTGATCTGATATGCTCTTCTTCAAACAATAAGCCCAAATGTTCAAATCATAAAAACTCGAGCGAAGATTTCAAGTCATTGTCACTTAGTTTGTGTGTTTATTAGATTTCAATGGAAATTGATTGCAAAAGATTTATCAAATGTCTCAAGGATAATGAAAATATTAATAGAATCAATTAAATTTTATCTAAAATTATTCAACATATATTTTAGAGTTCACACAAAATATTGCATAATTCTTTTAAAATTATTTGAATTTAATTTTCAATTAGTTTGATTATTTCATATTTATTTATATATGAAAATTATTATAATTATTCTTTTATTTAGTGATCATGGGCTTAATTTGCTCATCAATATACTTTTAAGTTTTCATCTATAGCAAATTAAAATGAACCTAAATTTTTCATTATATTCATTAAATTTGCTCGATATGCTTAATTAGGTTAACTATACCATCAATTTCTTAATTAAGAAAAAGTAGCTTAATAAAATTATATTGAATATTAAGGTTGTGCAAATTTGATTTAACATGAAAACGACATTGGTATTTAAATTGAAAAGATTCCATAGTGATAAGATTTGTTGAAACATTATTTTTAAGCAAAAAACATCAACAAGTCAATAACTCCAGAAGAAAATTAAAAACAAGGATGCCAAATATAATGTCAAATTTTCTACAATGAGTATATACTTACCGGCATCGCATGATTTATTGATTTGTTTAATGTTTGTGGCTTCATCGTCTTCGCAAGTGGAGGAGATCGTGACTCAACAACCAGTGCATTTGTAACTGTAGACGCATTGTTAACTCCAGTTACAAACTCGCCAGGTTGTCGCACATGCCTTAGCCTCTTTACAGCTCGATGTAAACGCTCCAATCGAAATGTCTCTCCATCAAAAAATAAAACACCATCGTTGTCCTTGTAATCCTCACTAGTTCCTTCAAAGGTCAACTTTGGCCTCCCAAGTTGATTATTGTTGAATTCAACCGTCACCCTATTATCCTTAGTCTTATGCAGCGTACCTGCTTGGTTCTTGTCAATCGAAGCTGGCTTAAATTCATCTGAAAATTTCAATAACCTAATTAATGTATGTAAAAGAAGTATAACTCACTCAAATTTTGCATAATAGACTCGTCTTGAAACCCTATATTGTTAGAGATTAAGCGAGTAAAAGAGAAAACTTGTTATCTCAATCCACCAAAGAGTAAAAGAGAAAACTTATCTCAATCCACCAAACACCTCCCAAATCAAGGTTCATTTCTACCAAAGCTAGTGATTCTTACACAACTTTTTTCATGCATAGTAATACAACTTTTCAAGCATTTAAAAAATTTGATCAAATAAATCAATGATTGAAACAAAGTAAAAATGCTCTAAATTCTAGCTTTTAGTTATAACTCAAATAGAAGAGTGACAAAAATTATTATCACATTGAGCCTCCTATCCCTAATAAGGAAAAGGAATTATAAGCTCCTTTACATTATTCATTGCTTCTAAGATCCACACGCAATGTCACAATCTAATCCTTTCACTCTACCAAACTCCTTGTCATTTCACCTTATTGACACACCTCCGTTTTCAAGTGCTTCATACATTCTTCACAGTACATGCTCAAACAACCTAAATTGCCCTACATTCTCTCCAAAATTCTTTCTTTTCGAAGTGAATTTCATTGAACAAATACAGAGACGATTAATCAAATAACATGAATATAAAAACCAATTATGCGAGATGTCTGTCCTCTGATGAAGAAAAATAACAAACCAAACCAGTTCTTAGAGATTAAAAGCCTGATTCTACAACAAGTTTAAGATAAGCTAATTTACCATATAAAATGAAAACATTGGTAGCACAAAATAAATGGATTTACGAAGAGAATTGAGAAGCGAATGAATGCTCACATCGAAGCGTACAAAACTTGGAGGAGGGACGATCCTTGAAGGAAGAACCAAGTCTCAGTTCGTACCACCGTTCCGGCTGAGGAGCCGAGCTCCGCCCTCCGCCGTTGTTCGCCATCAATATCACCTATCAAATCAGAGAAAGCACGTTGAATGATCGTAAACGAAAGCTGAAGAAGGAAATCCGATGATGGAGAAAGCATTCCGACCTCGTCAACCCTAACTCCAGCAGGAAAAGGGGTTTCTTTTCTTCATCCTGTTAATGGCTACATTGAGATTAAAGAAGGGAAAATTACATAAACACCAACCAAAACATTCATATTTACCAGTTAAGCCCTCAAGTGATTTTTTTTTATTTGATAAAAATGAAAAATATGGGTTGGGGCTTGCCAATGAATTTTGATATTTGAGTGAGAATTTTAAAAATAGATGAAAGACATTTGATAAAAATGAAAAATATGGGTTGGGGCTTGCTAATGAATTTTGATATTTGAGTGAGAATTCTAAAAATAGATGAAAGAGTATTGTTCATTTGTAAATAGCAAGTTTCAGGTGGTTTACATGTAATTGCCCCAAAAAAAATTTACATGCATATCACTCAATTTAGGGTCTGTTTGGGCAGCTTATTTGTTTCAGGATAAATAGTCTATCTTGAAACGCGACCCACGGGTCGATTCATGGCCTACGATTAGTGTTCATGCATATCACTCAATTTAGGGTCTGTTTGGGCAGTTTATTTGTTTCAGGATAAACAGTCTATCTTGAAACGCGACCCACGGGTCGATCCATGGTCTGCGATTAGTGTAAAAAAGTCAAACGTGGCAGGATGTGTTTTTAAAAACGCACAAACCAAACGGTTAGACGGCGTTTTCAAAAACGTTGTCGCACTTATAAGCTGCCCCAAACGGGCCTTAGTATTTATAAATGTATAGGTTGGGGTTTTACAATTAAACATTTTTATATGTCTGAGGTGCATTTATAACAAATTCATCTTGATATTAAAAGGCCTTTGATGAAATAAATAGAGAGTTTATCATTTTTAGGCTTCGTAGTAAAGGTTTTTCTCCTCTATTTGTTACTTGGATTTGGGCTTGCATCTTTGATGTTAAGTTTTATGTTTGCATTAGTGGTGCACCACAAGGTTTCTTTCCTTCTTGTATTGGTTTATGGCAACGTTACTCTCTTTCCCCTACACTTTTCCATGTTGTTATGGGCGACTTATCTAACTTTCTGCAATTTCATGTGGCAGAGGTGATTTTATGACCCTTTCATAGCATCACATGCCATCCCTCACCTCTTTTATGTTGATGATATTATTATCTTTCATACACACACACACTCTAATATTTCATCTATTAAAAATTTTTTATATGAATTTTGTGCGGCTTCTAATTTTAGGATAAATTATGTAAATTCATATCACATTTTATAAAACTATTCATAGCTCTTCTCTTTTTAGGGATATTTTGAATATTCACACTACTACCTCTCACTTTACTTACCTGGGAATACCAGTGGTTGTTCACAGAAGAAAATTGGTTTCTTTTTAACCTTTAGTGGATAGAACTAGTGATATCCCTGATGGCTGGAAAGTCAATACTCTCTCTAAAGCTGGAAAGCTTCAACTTATCTCATTGTATATTTGGGGGACTATTATGTATTTGGCGTGTGTTCTCATTCTTCCCAAAAGATGCACCAAATTAATTCAGTCATAGTGTTCTAAATTTTTGCTTCATGTTTCCATCCTTGATTAGAAATATCATGTTGTCTCTTGGGACACTATATGTAAACCAAGCAATATTTGTGACCTTGGCCTTCACTCAATCAAAACTATGACTCAGTTTAGAGAGGTTACTAAGCTTATTCTTAACATCTATAATGACACTAATAATGTGGCTAGATGGTTTAAATATAATAACCTCTCTCATCAGAATCTCGATCCATCTATTGTCACTTCATTTTAGAAGAACTTAAGTTCTTTAGCTCTGGAGCATAAACATTGTTTCTCCTTTTTTTTATTGATGGTAGAAATATGAACTTTTAGCTCTGGAGCATAAACATTGTTTCTCCTTTTTTATTATTGATGGTAGAAATATGATGAACTTGGGGATCCTTGGGTCAATTGCAAAGCTCTCACTAAGTTACTAGAACCAAGGAGATTCCTTTCACTCCATTCTTTGTTCTATGGTTGCCTCCAGGCCATTCTAGTCCTTGAGGATTGAAACTAAATGAGATTGTTGAATACTTTTATGATATTTCCAAGATCAATAACATTCTTCCCCACAATTTAACTGATCACTTACTTTGGAATAACTAGGAAAATTTCACCTGAAAGTCTATTTGTGAGAGATTTAATTATATTTCTCATGTGGTTAACTAGGCTAACTTTATTTGGCATTATAGAAATGCTCTCAGGAACTCATATTCTTGGTTTGTTGTTAGCAATGCTTAGAGTTAAGAACATTCATGTATAACTTCTTTGTTGCTTATGCCATAAGAAAATGAATCATTAATGATTAAACCAACTCTTTTTTTGTCTGTTATTTCTCAAATGCTATATTAAAAGAATGGTCGCCCTAGATGGCTGAGTATCTCCCCAATCCTAACTTACTTCAATTGTTGGAATTCGTTTTTGTTACATAATGGCTTTTATTTTTTTTTATTTTTACTTTGCATGCAATGATTTATTTTATATTGAAAGATAGAAATGGTACAAAGTTTGTTGGCCAAATTCTCAAACTTTCAGGCATTTTTTCATTATTAAAACTTTCATTAGAGCTAAATTATGGAATTGGAAGAGGAACAAAGAGTGAGAACTCGGAAGTTATTTTTGTTATGAGTATTCAAAGCTTGGATGCCAACTTCTCTGTTGCAACATACTTTTCACCTCCGCCCTTCTTTTCTTCATCCTTAGACAGACTGGCTCCTTGTGTTTTTTTAATGAGAACTCACACTCTCTTGAGCTGAAAGGTATAATTTTTTTGGAAGCAACATCCTCGACTTTTTAAGAGTTGTGATTAAAATTTAAGTGAGGAGCAACTTAAAGGCTGATTCGTTAGCTCCTTTCATTTTAATGAAGGGTTGAACGTATATTTCGCATCGCTTATGATATATTTTTTGCTTGGTTCGTGTGCTCATGGCTTCAAACTTCACCTTACATATAATTTTATTTCCAAGCCCTTGTTACAAAATCTTTCGTTGCTGGTGTGTTTAGTTATTTATTTATTTATTTATTTATTTTTGTCACAATTTGGCGTTTTACTTTATGTAATTGATTTCTTTTACTGTTAATGAATATTTGGGATCTATCCCCTTAACTTTCTAAAATTTAAATAATATAATAATAATGAACATATGTTTAGAATTACTATTAGTCATAGGATATAATCATAAATTTTGTAATGCATGAGTTTGATAGTTAAAAAAAAAGTGATAATTACATATAGACCACCCGAAACAATGATATTTACAAGGGTTAATTACATATCGACTACCCTAAACATTGTTATTTACGAATTAAACATCCAGGTGATATTTTTAAACTACCGAACAGATGTATTAATACGTGCCATGATCAAACTATTTAGAATTTGAGAAAAAAAATGGAAAAAAATATGGGATGAGATTTTATCGTGAATATTTGATAAGTGAGAATTTGAAAAAGGAATGAAAGAGAATGGTTGATTTGTAAATAGCAAGTTTTGGATGGTTTGCATGTAATTGACCCATTTACAAATGACCTAAATATGAAATGCAAAAGTTTATTCCTATGTATAAAAGGGTGAAAATAGTGTAATCCACATTTTCAGGGTAATTACCATATAAAAATCAAAGTTCGAGGGTGCATTATGTAAATTCATAAGGATTAAGTGGCATGTATGCAAATTTTCTGAAGCAGAAATGTAAATACATAAAAATTATGTGTGGCATGTGGGCAAACGAAAATCCTAAATCTAGGATTCGTTTCAGACCTAGACTCGCGGCGGCTCGGGGCGGCCGTGGGGTTCGCGGCCGTCGCGGCCGTCGCGGCCGTCGGAACTCCTTCCAAATCGGCACTCGCCTTCTCTTTTTCCTCCAGAAGCTTCGCCAGCGGCAGAGCTTCCTCAGTTTCAAGCGCTGCGATCGGTGTAACGCTAGCCTGGCGGCGGGGTTTCGATTCTTGCCGGATAATCACCGCCGTCCGATCCGATGGCAGTGCCGGGCCGCTGCTGAGGACGTGTAAGAACTGCAAAGCTCAGTTCGATCCCTCGATCAATCATCCCGGCGCGTGCCGATTTCATACCGCGCATTTTGGGGGTAGGGTTCATTTATGCTGATAATTTTATCGTTTGTGCTGTTTTGATCTCATTGATGCTACTAATTTTGCTTACTTTTGTATGTTTTTCTTAATTCTTCGGAGAATTTGTTCAATGTTGTTAGCAATTTGCTTTTAAATTGGTGATAGTTTGATTTAGGGTTTGTTTGGCTGCAACCCGTATTTGCATTTACTAGGATTTAGTAAATACGACAAATCCATATTCATATTGATGGAGATGGCGATGGAGATGACGCTCACAGCATGATGGAAAAATTCTTGAATCTGCTAACTTCTTGTATATTTACATGTCTAGCACCTAAAATTTCATATCTACAGAATTAACCCGCAAATATTTGACAATTTTCACTATACTCTAGCTTTTTTAAACTGAAATACACATTTTCAAGCGTAGGCTTTTATTAGCATTGTCTCATGTATGTAAATATAAAAAACTTTGGTGTTAGACATGTAAATGCATGAGAATTGTGTGATGTGTATGTAAATTTCCCTGAAGTTTATAGGAACATTTACATACACACTAGATTCCCAAGTATTTACATATCTATCACCTATATTTTACTTTTTACATTTATTTCACCCAAACTATTCATGTCACATCTAAAATACCAACATTTAAACTTAAAAGAAATAAAGTACACCTTTTCAAGCATATGTAAGGTGCCATGTATGTACAATTTGAAAATTAGGTTTTAGATCTGTTAATATATAAGAATTGAGCGGCATGTATGTAAAATCTGCCTACTTGATGCCTGACTGTGGGTTCGTTTCAGGCGGCAGTGCGACGCTGCACCACAGTTTTATCTGTCTGGGTAAACTACGTTTTGGTTCAAAAAGCTACCGCTGAAATCTGTGTTTTCTCACCACTCCTAGCTATGTGTGGTGATAGCTTTCTAACTGCGGTCTGACTTTAAAAAATAATAATAATTGTAATAACCACCGCAGTTTTTTGAGCAATTAGATTATTATTTAGCAGTTTCACAGCTATTTTTTAATAAGTTACAACTACCCCAAATAGATCCTGTGATGTATAATTGAAAATTCTATTCTTTAAGGTGATAGTAATAACATTAGTATTGTATGACGTGCTTTTGCTTATAATAAAATAAGATTACTCTTAAATAACTATAGAATGAGAAATCTCATAGAGATGATTGATTTTTCAAACCTCTTAGCTAGAAAATTTAAGTATATTCTGAAGTTGAACAAGACCCTTGACCATCCATATTACATGTTTGGGACATTTACATACATAGCCCACGATTCTTAAGTATTTACATATCTCTCACCCAAATTTTAATATTTACACACATGGCACTCAGTTCTTTAGTATCACATAAAAAATAGCACTATTATCATTTTTTAGAAATCAAACAAATTTTAATATTTACACACATGGCACTCAGTTCTAGCACCATTATCATTTTTAGAAATCAAGTACACCTTTTTATGCATACATTTAAAGCACTATATATATGTAAATAAGTGTGAGGTATGTATATACATAAGAATTGTGTGCTTGGTATGAAATTTTCCCTAAATGTTCTTCTTCTAGCAAGACTTTCTCTTATATTGTACTACTAAATAGATTGTATTTTTCCAGGATTTGCTCTTGTGGTTAAGAGATTTTCTTGAACTTAAGGGTTAATCTTTTCGGAACATATAGTGAAAAAAAGGGCATTTACAAACATACCAAACAATTCCCATGTATTCAAATGTCTTTTAACACCTAAACTTTAATGTTTACATTCATAACACTGAAAGCTTTATCATCACATAAAAAATATTGTTTACTAATTTTTAAAAAGTCAAACGCACATTTTCATGCATAAATTTATAACACCAAACTGTTATAAATGTGAATATCAGACTTTCGTTGTTAAACATGTAAATCCTTAAGAGTTGTGTGGTGCTTATGTTAATTTCCCCAAAATAAAACCAAAATGATACTAGAATTTTATGCAGATTCATTTAATTGATGGTTACATGCCATTGCTGCCTCCATAAGTTGCAATATGGTTTGATTGTGGAGAATTATGACTACCTCTAGTATAAACTCTTTATAAAGAAAAATCAAAGTTAGCCAAAAAAATTTAATAAAAATTTTAAAATGCCTTTAATAAAATAATCAAGAACATAGTCCATTTTCTTTGCAGGTAAAAAAAAATGAAGCTTTACATCACAACAAATTTAAGTTAATGCCCCGTTGTTTTAAGTTGTGTCGAACATATGTAAATGCCCCGTTATTGGAAAATTTAATGCAATTATTTGTCTCACACTTACACTTTTATATTTACATTTATGACATCTTGATATTAAAAATATATGCATGAAAAGATGTGTTTCACCTTTAAGAAATTAGTGATATTGATGTGTTTGATGTGATTTAAGAAATTTGAGTGTTATGTATGTAAATATGAAAGTTTAGATGTTAGATATGTAAATATATAAGAATTGTGTGATATGTATGTAAATGCACACAATTCTTATATATTTACACATCCAACACCTAAACTTTCATATATACATAGATAAAACCTATGCATGAAACAGTGTATTTCACTTTTGAGAGATTGGTGATAGTGATATTTTTAATATGATGGTTTATTAACTCTTTCTCAGGAATGATCTTCAATTCGGCTACCCAAATCGGTTAACTGAAACCAATACATCTGGGTTCAACAAGACTTATTCGTCTGATTATGCTGAAGCGGGATTGTCGATCAGTCTTTGACGGTAATGAACAGTAATATGAATTGTTTATTAGCTCTTTCTCTGTTGTGGTTCTGAAGATCCTTTTGATCCTGGATGCACTGCAGCTCCTCATTCTTCTTATGATGAATAGTACGCTATGTCCTTCCCTGAAGAGATATATTTTACGTTTTGTATGTATACATTGCTCCTTTTTTTCTCTTCTATATATCATTGTTCTATGATTCTAATTATCTTAGAATTTTTTTTTTAATATTTATATGCAGATTATTATGCAACTATTTTGCTTATAATGCCTTGTAGATCTTGTTTAAATCGACTTGAGTTTTGATCTAGCCGTTTGGCAAATGATTGAGTTTTAATCAATTTCGTTGGCTGCCAACTATTGATCGTTGGATGAGGAGCTCCTGTCAACAGAATAAGACCATGTTATCAGGCAGATCACCGTAATATGATAGATAATTCATTACTTGACGAGGAAATCCTCTAGGAAGCTTTGTAGATTATATTATGGTCAGTTCTCGGCTCCTAATTAGGAATCTCAAGGGCCTCCGTGAAATGACTGGTAATGATGAGTTCTTCCTTTAAGTCGGGTTGTGGTGAGAGGCAGGGTAATGTCTTTGCTCGACTCGATTGGTCTTGATCCTTAGTTCTGATGGCCTGCATTTGGTCGATTTATGGCCCCAATTCAGGATGGTTGCTTTTAATCAAGTGGGCCATTTGGTCTTTTGCCCGTGGGCCTTTTGTTCTTTTGCCAATGGGTCCTCCTTAGATATACTTTTGTGTCTCTTTGTCCGTTGGATCTCCCTTAAAATTTGTGCAAATGTGTTTCTGATGTACAAATTCAAAATTAAAAATTTTTTTATTTGGATCGATATCTACAATTTTTAAAATAAACTTTGCAGATTTTTCTATATAGATAATAGCTTTGATTGATGATTACAAATATTCTACTAAATTAATAGATTTTACAAGAACTAGCTCGAAATTACCACCTTTGAATCGACCCCATGTTTTTCAGAAAAAGCGGCAAATCAACTGTTTTTCAAACGTATAAATCAAACAGCTAAACCGTTTATCCAAAATAGGGGCAGAATGATCATTCATCCAGAATCAACTATTTTCAAAACACACAAACCAAACAACCAGACAACTTATCAGGATAAGCTGTTAATCAGCAGATTATCAGGATAAGCTGTTGATTCCCATATTATCAGGATAAACTGCTTATCTAGATAAGTTGTATAAGTTGCAGTTGCCCCAAACATATCCTAAATTTTCAACCCCGAACTTAGCCCGATTGGTTCGAACATGACTTGATATCACCTTATCAAGAAGGGAGGAAAATAGGTTCGAGTTAGCTTGTAATTGTTTCTTGAGCCCCATGGGAGTGCTTGGATTACTGGCGTTGAAGTTAATTGAGGTCATATATAGAATAGAGTAAAAGTATATTTGAAATTTTACAATGTGTTAATAAAATTGAAATTTGATCTAGTGGTTCGGTGAATGGTCGAGTATTAATCAATTCAAAATTGAAAAAAAAAATGAATTTTTTCGATTTGATATCTACAATTTTATAAATAATTTTGATTTATAAAATTGTAGATATCAAATCGAAAAAATTTATTTATTTTTCAATTTTGAATTGATTAATAGTTTTGATTGATGATTACAAATATTCTACTAAATGTTGTATGGGTGTGGGTTATAATACTTCAAAATATTTGGATTAAAATGAAACAGTATTGTGCTTGAAGGTCTAACACATTGGTTGGAAACGACCTTAAAATCAGAGAGTATTAAGTTGATGATATGATAGACTAAAACAGTTTGTTGATTTATTTTAATTACTACCCTCATACTAAATCATTAAACTATATTAATGATTGAAGGCCTAAGTTAGAATGTTAGAGGGTTTGCTGGGAAGCATTTAAGAAATAGAATTAAAATTTATGTTGAACTTAAACTATCCCTTTATAAGAGATTTTCTTTTACTTTATTGAAGTTGTTAAGACTAACAGCTAGTTTGTAATTTTCATCAATTAATGCTCGACTCAATTTTATGTTGCGAACCATTGCGAAGGTGATTGTTTAAGTCCATACAATGTCTTTTTGAGTAGTCACATATGATTATAAAATCAAGGGTCGGTATAACTTGAGGGTTGTTTCATATACACACTTTCAAGCAATGCCATGTAGAAATGTATTTGAAAATGCCATGTAGAAATGCAATTGAAACGTCAAATTGCATCATGAACCAATTTTTATTGAAAGTGGCGGTGAAGAACACTCGAAGAGCGGCCATCTTGGCCTAAAGGCTAAATGTCTTGTAGTAATTCACTCCATGCTGTTGATTATACTCCAGTACAGTGAGTCGAACTTTATATCGTGCCACAGTCCCATATAAATTGTAGTTGGTACAATAAGTCCAACGACACCCAATAATCGGTTTATCAGTCGGCGGTCGAACCAGTACCGAAGTAACTTGGGCCTAAATGGCGAAGAATTCATCATTCATGGCCGATCTCCAATGAGCACACTTGGCTGCCTGTGTGCAGCAAGTAGGATTTGAAGAATATTTCAGCTGATGTATAAGGTTGAGTGTGTGGACCGGCTTGAGCTTCCCGGTTTTACTTCAGGTAACCATAGGATAGGTAGTGGAGCAGTTGCCATAGTAGGCGGCAATGTAGTGGGGTAAGAGGTTTTGGTGGATGCAAATGGTGTATTTTGTACCGGGAGCTCTCGGTTGATGTTAGATGAGGTTGGATGTATTTATGATGCAAATGGAGGTACAAGAAGGGATTGGAGATTGAAGAGGGTTGTGGTGGGAATGTATCCGAAGGAGTTGAAGAGTTGCAGGGGAAGACATGTTCCTCAAATACATGTTGAGATATGAAAAGTTTGTCGGAGCTGGGTTCATAGCATTTGATGGAAAATGAGATCTAATGGAGGATACCGTTGGTTTTGAGAAAGTTATGAAGAAGAGTCCTCTTATATTCACCATCGCCATCGGATCAAAGTATGTGAATATAGGTTTTAAAATGTGTATGAATCATTTTAATGAATGGAATACCTTTTTGAGCGGTTTCAGCTTTGCTAACCATGAGAAACACCAAACAAAAATACGAGAAATCATCAATAAAGATCAAATAGTATTTACAACCTTGAGTAGATTAAATTAGGTATAATGTGTTTAATGCAAAGGAGCATATGTATGTAAAGAAGGAAAAAGAAAGGGTTGTTTATGATTTTTGTTGCAACGACAACTATTACATGTAATGCTGTGTTTGTTATGCTTAAAGGTGGTTGAGTCTTCTATAGAGATGAAGAATGTCTTGGTGAGGATGTCCAAGGCGTTTATGCCAAAGAGTCGGCTGTTGTGTGGAAGTAGTGAGAGTGGGAGTGGAAGTCTTGAAGGAGCAATCAAGTACATGTCATCAAAGTTGTTGCCCTGGAGTAAAGTTTGCTTCGTCTTGGAATCAAAGATGATAAAGCTAGCCGGATAAAAGGGGATAGCAACATTCTTATCATTAATCAACTTATGAATGGATGAGGTATTGTAAGAAAGAGATGGCACATGCCATACTTGTGGTAAGAGGAGCTTATGATAGGTCGAAAGGATATCATTACTTGTATATGCAACTGGCACAGACTGACCATTGCCAACCATTACCTGGTCTATTCCGATTGTCAGTGTAGCGTGATTGATGTAGTTTGTAATGTAAGTTTGGAAGAAGTGTGATCGAGATTGGATATATGAAAACATGTGAAAGCCAAGTGTCTGAATTTATTGGCAAATTTGGTAAACCACTAGAATTTGGGATTGAGTTCGACCACCCTTAGATCGGGGGTTATATTGGGCTCTGTCACAACCTCGATCAGTGTTAGTATGCTAATCTCGAGCAGTCGATAGAGCTAGCTGGGGGTTGGAGGGCAATTCAAGTTTATGGTTTCACTTACTATGTTGATCTCTTCACTGCCGAGAAGGGAATAAAAAGCATCTAGATCTGGGAATGCAGTTAGTTGACTGTGAATAACCGTTTTGAATCCTTAGTCAGGGAATAAAAAGCATCTAGATCTGGGAATGCAGTTGACTGTGAACAACCGTCTTGAATCCTTAGTGTTTTGAATCCTTAGTCGGCTACTGGAAGTCCGTTAAGCCAGCAGAGAATGGCATCTTGTTTGTCGGTAGTTGTGATGTTGTCAGCCAATGCTTTGACTCTCAACAGGCATTGTTTCATGGATTGGTTGTTCATCGAGTTGATGGAGCTCATTCTTGAGTTGAATGAGTCTCAATCAATTGGTGGGTTAAAATTTTTTGGCAATGGTGTGACAAATTTTTGAGGTGGTGGATAGGTGATGAACATAGGAAAGAATTGTTGTCGAGATGATGATAGGGGGAAAAAAAAAACCATGAAACAAAAAGGGTCAGGTCATTCTAATAAACTTGTCATCATGATAGACCCTCAAATTCTTAAAATTGCTCTTGGAGATGCGTGTAACACATAAAAAATCAATCAAAATTTATATTACACGCTCATCTCAAATCAAATTCAGTAATTTCATGATCCAAAAACCAAAACCAAACTTTCTCCTCAAGAAAAAAAAAAAAAAAAAAACTGGATTAGAACATCCAGACCAAAGTTTGGTTAAGATGAATCTCAAAATAATTGAGCTTAGTTTATAGTTTCACATCCAACGGATCTGAAACTCATCATAACAACAAACTCAATCAAGATATTCCGATCCAAAGTTTTTTTCTCAAAGAAAACTAAGAGGAGGCCTCCAGCTCGGAATACTGGGAGTTCGAAGCAGCAATTAGAGCAGCCCCAATGCCCGAGCCATCATTGGCAAGCTTAATAAGCACAGAGGAAGAAACCTCTTCTCCAAGAATCTCTGTGAGTGAGCCCTCCAAGCTCTGTCTGAAGAAGGTGTAGTGCTCAAACAGGCCACCATCCAAAGCAATCACAGTTCTCCGGTTTTTCTCTGCAGTATCTCTTCCCTGCTTCTTAAGAATGCCGACTATGCCGGCGGCAGATAGCCGAGCTCCCCGTTTTGTGATGATGTCACAGAGATTGACCACCATTTTTCTCGTCTTGAAGGAGGTGTTTACGATCTGAAAAATTGGAGCCAAGTGTAGATAACAGTAACTAAAGCCAGCTTTCATATTTGAGAAATTTACATATGTAGCACACAATCCTTATGTATTTACATGCAAAGCACTTTCGTATTTTGAAACTATGCATGAAAAGTTGTATTTCACTTTTAAGGAGTGATAATATTATTATTTTTTATGTGATGTTAAAAATTTGAGTAATGTGTGTAAATATGAATGTTTAGACGTGAGATACATACATATGTAAGAATTTTGTGTTATGTATGTAAATGTTACAAACTTACCACCAAATTCTTAGAATATTTCATATCTAACATCCAAAAATTTAATATTACATTCATACCACATACTTCTCAAGTCAGTCTGCCGTCTAAACTAATTGGGAAAGCAATGGTTGGCTTGCAGCTTACTAAGACCTCCAAAACTCCCTTCTTTCTCCTCCTTTGGCCCCACCCCAAAGAAGACAATGATAGGTGTGAAACTTACAAAGACGTCCGAAACTCCCTTCTTTCTCCTCCTTTCTCCTCCTTCAGCCACCCTCCTGGGAAGGCAGCGAATACCTCCAATACTCTCATCACTCCCCCTACGGCCCAAGCTCCTCTCACTTTAGAGAGCTTTGCCATTCGCCATTGATGGAAATATAGCGGGGTGATAGGATTGAGGAATTGAGAAGAAATAGATGGAATGCTTGTAACATTAAAGTTTTGGGTGTCTATCTATTTAATATCTGACACCTAAAACTTTAATGTTACAAGCATTCCATCTATTTCTTCTCAATTCCTCAATCCTATCACTCTGCTATATTTTCCATCAATGGCGATGTATCTCACGTCTAAACATTCATATTTACACACATTACTCAATTTTTTAACATCACATCAAAAATAACAATATTATCACTCCTTAAAAGTGAAATACACCTTTTAATGCATAGTTTCAAAATACTATATACATATATATATATATATATATATACACATCTCAAAATTAGATTGAAAGGTTTACCTACATGCCATTTTTACCTACATGCCACTTAATTCCTATGTATTTATATATCTAACCCCTAAACTTCAATTTTTCCGTGAAAGAAGGGAGTTTTGGAGGTCTTAGTACGCTGCAATCCTGCCATTGCTTTCCCAATTAGTTTAGACGGCAGGCTGTAATGATTGAGGACTTGAGAAGTATGTGCTATAAATGTAATATTAAATTTTTGGATGTTAGATATGAAATATTCTAAGAATTTGGTGGTAAGTTTGTAACATTTACATACATAACACAAAATTCTTACATATGTATGTATCTCACGTCTAAACATTCATATTTACACACATTACTCAATTTTTTAACATCACATCAAAAATAACAATATTATCACTCCTTAAAAGTGAAATACACCTTTTAATGCATAGTTTCAAAATACTATATACATATATATATATATAAACACATCTCAAAATTAGATTGAAAGGTTTACCTACATGCCATTTAATTCCTATGTATTTATATATCTAACCCCTAAACTTCAATTTTTCCGTGTCTTACCTGTGCATGAAAATGTGTATTTCAGCTTTTAAAAGTTAAAACAATAGTATTTTTTATGTGATAGGAAAGATCTGTGTGGTATAAATGTAAAAGAAAAGTTTAAGAGTCGCTACGTAAATACATAGAAATTGGGGGGCATGTAAGAAAATGCCCTCATTTATACTTAGAAGTATTGAGACAGGGTATTATGAGAGTATTGTACCTCCAATACATCCTTTAACTTTTTGGCTACTTCCCTGAGATCTGATGATGTATCGTGATGCATGGCAGACATGTGTGGGGTCCTGAAAGAAGACATTCACAAATTTATTCTACATTTCCAGTGCGGGTCATAAGCATAAAATATAAGTTTTAATTGCTGATTAGCCAACGCAGGTAAGATTAATTAATAAGTAGAATGTTAGCTGACTCAACTAAGAATATGCAAATATGCCATCCTAAACAATTGAGCGTGGACGACAATACATCTAAAATAAGGAAGATTTACTTAAGCTATTAGTATATGATTTGATAGAACTTCATTAGTTCCACCACACCTTAAGGAGTTGTTTGGTAATGATTTTAGCAGATTTAGTAAATCATGTAAAGCCGAATTTATTAAATCCTGCTAACACCATGATTTAGTAAATATAGAATTTAAGAGAACTGACAAAAAAATTAAGAATTAAATTTACTGTCTCACAAGATTTAATTTAAATCCAACTTAAATCCATTACCAGAGAGCCCCTAAATTCCACTATTTTCTGGCACGATTTTGGAATTGTGTTCTTCCCTAATTTATAAATCTAAAAATTTATAAAGAGATAGAAAACATCTCATAATTTAAAATTATGGATGAGAAATTCTTTGATTATAAACTTTAGGGGTTTATAGCGTATCAACCACTCAAAACTTTAAATATAATGGATTGACCCCCCAACAAGCTTAAAATTATACATTTCAACTATCAAAAACCACCCAAATCTTTAAATATAACAGATTCACCGCCCCTGTTTCAAAAGGAAATAAAATTTTGAGTGCTCGAAATGTAAATTTTAAATTTAAATGACGAACACATTATATTTAAAGTTTTGGGTGGTTGTTTTAAATCTCAAAGACAACAAGAAAATGAAGCATACCGCAGTATAAATGGAACGCTGAGTTTTGGAGGGACAATGTCCCCAAAGAAAGAAGCCTCTACCGCCAACTTCAAGAGAACTCTTCTCAGAATCTCTCCCAAATACATTCCCGAAATCAACTTCTCAAATATCTGAAAATTTACTATTAGTTCATAAATTTATAATATCAGGACTCATGATTCAACAGTGAAATGTCACATAGTAATATTGCACGAGTGTTGAAAGTGAAAAATTACACAAAAAAACCTCCATATGACACTGATGATTTAGGAATAACCATATTCAGCGGAGATAGCAGCTTATGTTATAAAAAGAGAAAATAATCTTATTTTAGTCGATGAGTCTATAAAAGTGTCAATTTAGGGTTTGTTTGGGGCCGTTGCAGCTTATTGAATAATCTGCTGATAAGCTAGGTGCGTTGACTATTACAATTTTTTATTTTTTTGGAAAAGTCATGCCGCAACCAGAAAGTTGCCACCGCACCTAGATAGGTGCGGTGCAAAAACGTTGTTTTCAGCGTTTTGAAAAAGCATAAGCTGCCAAAACGCAGTTTGCCCAAACATGCCAGGTGCGTTTTCAAAACGTCATCGCACCAAATAAGCTGCCCCAAACGGACCCTTAGCCTCCATACTCTTTTCATGGGGGCCAAAACGATCGTCCTCCATAGAGACTATTTCAGCCTATTTTAAAAGAATTTGGGGATTAATTTGACATTTTTATAGATTATGGGACTAAAATTGACAGACGTAAATAGCCCAGGGATGACGAACACATTATATTTAAAGTTTTGGGTGGTTGGCGTGTAAAAGCCCCAAAATTTTAAATCTCAAAGACAACAAGAAAATGAAGCATACCGCAGTATAAATGGAACGCTGAGTTTTGGAGGGACAATGTCCCCAAAGAAAGAAGCCTCTACCGCCAACTTCAAGAGAACTCTTCTCAGAATCTCTCCCAAATACATTCCCGAAATCAACTTCTCAAATATCTGAAAATTTACTATTAGTTCATAAATTTATAATATCAGGACTCATGATTCAACAGTGAAATGTCACATAGTAATATTGCACGAGTGTTGAAAGTGAAAAATTACACAAAAAAACCTCCATATGACACTGATGATTTAGGAATAACCATATTCAGCGGAGATAGCAGCTTATGTTATAAAAAGAGAAAATAATCTTATTTTAGTCGATGAGTGTCAATTTAGGGGTTGTTTGGGGCAGCTGCAGCCTATTGAACAGTCTGCTGATAAGCTAGGTGCGATGACTGTGACAACTTTTTTATTTTTTTGGAAAAGTCATGCCGCAACCAGAAAGTTGCCACCATCTAAGTGCGGTGCCGGTGCGGTCTGAAAATATTATTTTCAGCGTTTTGAAAAAGCATAAGCTGCCAAAACACAGTTTGCCCAAACAGGTCAGACTCGTTTTCAAAACGCCACCGCACCAAATAAGCTGCCCCAAACGGACCATTAGTCTCCATACTCTTTTCATGGGGGCTAAAATGATCGTCATCCATAGAGACTATTTCAGCCTATTTTAAAAGAACTTGGGGATATAGATTATGGGACTAAAATTGACAGACGCCCATGGGCTACTTTAACACTTTTCTTGTAATAAAAATGTACCTATAGCTCAGAGGTACTTAAGAGAAGCATACCTGTTCACCAGGGTTCAAACTTTGAGCATCTAATGACCAATCATATTCCGTCATGGGAAGGTGAGATGACTCAAAATTTCCCCATTCCATGTTGATGACCTATGTGATAATACATTATTAATCACAACCATTAAATATTTAAACACATATGAGATCTAAATAATTAAAGAAAGATTTACATACATACCACTCAATTCTTATGTGTTTACATATCTAACATCTGAACTTCAATTTTTATATATATGTCACCTTACATATGCATGAAAAATTTTATTTGACATTTTAAAAGTTAAAGTAGTAATATTTTTTATGTGATATGAAAGATTTGGGTGGTATAAATGTAAAAAGGTAAAAGTTTAGTTGTTAGATATGTAAAAACATAGTACATGGATTGTATTTATGTAATGCCCCATAATTAAAAAAACCACTTCATTAATCAGCATCATAGGATTACAAATTTGTTAATTTATAATACTACTTAATACACTTATATAATACTCAAGTTGTTTCTAACATTCTGAGGTACTTATAAACTCAATTTTAGTAGCAGGAACAGCATTATAAAATGGGAGCATTTACATACAACCACCCAATTCCTATGTATTTACCACATATCTAACACCAAAATTTTACCTTTTGCATTTCTACCTCCCACATCTTTCACATTACATAAAAGTGCCACTATTTTAGCTTTTAAAAAGTGAAATATACCTTTTCATGCATAAGTAAGGTGCCATCTATTTAAAAATTGAAGTTTAGGCGTTAGATATGTAAATATATAGAAATTGAGTGGTATGTATGTAAATCATCCTATTAAATCTTACCATCTCTCCTGATTTTGGTAGTAGGCCATTCCACTTTGGAATGGCATGTGCTTGCTCTACATAGGCTGCATTTGTTCCAGTACCCAATATAACAGCTGCAACTACATCCTTATCATAAAACCTTCCCCCAGCTAATGTCCCGACAGTATCATTGACCTGAATTAAGATATTTCTCAGAAAATTGCACAATAAACAAAAATTTCTAGAATGATAAGAATAAAAAGCTCACGAGTGCTGTGACGCGCAAATCAAGACCTTGCCTCTCGATGGCTCTTGTCAACTCCGCCACGACATCTTCCCCAACCTAGTTTCCATGCACGAAATGAAATTTAGGAAAGCCATTGTTAAAATTTAGACTACTAAGAAAACTTTACTTTATTTCCCCATCACATTCCAAATGAAGATTTAACGAAAAAAAAAAGAAGAAAAATGTCAAAATGGCCCATGACTCTTTACAGGGTGACATTTTAGTCTCAGAATTTATAAAAGTGTAAATTTAGTTCCCCCTCTTTTAATAAAATAATTCCCAATGAGATTATTTTATTATCCAGTAAAACAGTCTATAGATTAATTTAGCACTTCTATAAACTATGAGATAAATTGTCCCATCTAAATAATCTGAGGACTATTTTAACACTTTACTCGCAAAAAAATGTATAGTTGCGAAATGTGGTACTGCCAAATGCTATAAACTATGCTAGTTCTACTTAGTGAAATAAAACGAGTAAGAAACATATGTAATTGATGACAACGAGAAAAGTGACAAAATAGTCCCTTGATATTTTACAGGGGTTATATTAGTCCCAAAGTCTATAAAAGTGTCAATTTAGTCCCGTGACTCTTTTAATAATAGTTGAAATAGTCTCCATGGACGATTATTTCAGACGCAGTTTAAAAAAATATAGGACATTAAAAATACCACCATTTTAACTTTTAAAAAGTGAAATAGCCTACACTTTACTTTTATATCATCCAAATCTTTCATATCACAAAAAAAAAATACCAATATTTTAACTTCTAAAAGGTGAAATAGACATTTTCATGTTATAATTAAGGTGGTACGTCCGTAAAAATTGAACTTTAGGTGTTAGACATGTAAATGCATATGAATTGTGTGGTATGTATGTAAATCTTCCTTTCAAAAAATCATGGTGAGGAGGCATAAACAGCTAGAAAACCCACCTACTTGGGAGGAGTTGATGAAGGTGTTTAGATCACGCCAGAACGTATTAGATGCAGATGAGGCTTAAGCGATTTGTTCTCAAGACCTCATGGTAAAAAAATGAGTCTAATTTCAAGGCAGCGGCCTAGTATCTACCTCAGATGGTTCTGGATGAGGAGCAAAGACGCTTTCATTAAAAAAAATCTAAGATAATACATTAAAAATAGGGGTATTTACATACATGCCACACAACTCTCATATATTTACATATTCTAAGACCTAAACTTTAATATTTAAATTTATAGCACACAAATCTTTAACATCACATCAAACTATCACTTTTAAAAACTTTTTTAAAAGTCAAACACACATTTTTATGCATAGGTTTACAGCACTAAAGTGTTATAAATGTAAATATTAAACTTGAGGTGTTACATATGTAGAATTGTGTTGTACTTATGTAAATTTCCCTAAAAAATTACTAGCAAATCTCCGCTTTACAGACAATGGAACCCTGACGCCGCGGACCATTGAAAGAAGATGAGGTAATAATGATGTCAATGGCAAGAATCACAAATGCGAACAAAAGAGTCAAGCAAATGAGAAAGAAAGTCTCCAAAGAACCATAATGGATCATGCCAAAAGAGTGAAAAATGGTGGAGAGGCGAAGGTGGGAAACGAGGACCTTCAAACATTTAAGGATAGGGTTGTGCAAGCTGAAGGCAGTATCACAGACTTCTTATGCTCTGGCCCTATTGACTTTCTCGATAATGAGCTAGTTGTAGAGAAAAATGCATGCTCTTCAAGGTGAGTTGGCAATCATGAACAGCACGATGAACATATGTAGAGAAAATTGACACCAAAAAGAATGAAGTTATAACAATCAATGGTAAGATGAATGGCCGTTTGAATAAGTTGCATGATTTGAAGCGGTAGACTGTAAAGCAAATGCGCAAGCTAGAATATAAGCTGGAATATAAAGAGTGAAAACTATAACCAATAATTTTCAAGTAGGTGGAATGGGGCTTACTCTTGTCGGAGAGAGACAAAATGCCCATGGAACGAAGATAAATGAATAAATCCCATTATTAATGGTCGAGCTTACTCTACAAGGGCTTACAATTTTGTCTATGTCAGGACAACCACTAAACGCCCTAAGCATTCTAGAAAAATCACCTAAATTCATATAAATCATGAAGTTAGTCAGATAGGATAAGAAGTATACTTCCCTGGGGCACAGTATGCTGAATGCAATATTTGTCCTCAATCTGGGCTCTATTGGCATGACTCCGGTTACGAAATTATTTCAAATCCGGCCATTAAACATGTAAGAATATAATTTTTATATGTGAAGATCTTTGTATTTTTTATTCTATAAATTTTAGGTTTAAATATTTTCAATTATTAAAATTTTATAGAAAAAGACTTTACCATAGAAGCTTACTCGTCAATGTAAGCTCAGACAAACAACAATTATACGAAACCAAGAAGTCAGCACGCCTGTGCAGATAAATAAATGATTTAAAAGATTTATGTCATGATTTTTCGACCAAAATTTTATGTTGGTTATCGACTACCAGATGCAATCCTCCACATGTGCAAATAAAAAAACACATCAAAAAATTAAAAAATAAGAACATGTCGGGTGTCATTGGATCAATAACGTATCTTAGAAAGACAAAAAGGCAAAGAGGCTCCTTGTGTGACCTGGATATCTCCATGTCAAAGCATTCATGGATGTAAAGGTAACAACGATGCAAGAATCCATGTGGCTTATGAGATTGCTTGGAGACAAACCAAGGCACCATTTATATTGTTATTATTTGCTTGTGATAATCAATGTGCAGTTCAATGGCATGGAATCGATGTTCAATGTATAAACAAAACACATCAAGGTGTTTCTTCACTTAATCATTGAAATGATTTTAGTTGAACTAATTCTTATTTGGGTTTTTTCGGAAGACAAACTTGCAAAAATATTTACAAAAGCTTCAGTGACAAATATTTTAATATTATAAAATACTCCCGGATTTATTTTAGCCCATATTAAAAGAGACTGGGACTAATTTGAAACTTTTATAGACTCTGAACTAAAATGTCTCAATGTAAATAGTCAAAAACTATTTTGACACTTTACTTGAAAGAATTAATGAGAATAATTTTGCTTTACTCCAAACTCCTCCCAAAACGATTTCAACAAATATAGCAAATCTCTTTCCAAAGTGATCATAAACGCCTGAACATAATAATCAACACTATATTTTCAAGAGAAAAAAGAGCATTAATAAAAATAAAATCAAAAGGCAATACCGTTTCCTCAATGGAGAAACCTTTTGTCCATTTTATAAGCGTGCCTGAAGAAAGTGAAGTCTGCCTCACTGGAAAAGAGAAAGTAAACCCAAGTTCTCTCTGCCTGCCTTCAGGAAATTTAAATTCCTCACTTTCAGAAGCAATAAAGTTTGCTACCCCTACAGCAATGAAATCAAACAGTTCCTAAAGCAAAAAAATAAATAACACAAATTAGAAAAGAAAACATAATTCTAATATAATTAAAAGAGCTCAATGCATCAAATTTTCACATACATGGGAGCTTCCGACCATCAAATGCGGTGGAATAGAGACCTCTTCAGCCTCTTGTTTCAAAACGCCGAGTTCCCTTCCTCCCAGTTGTACACGTAATACACGGAAATTAGTTCCTCCAAGGTCCAATGCGTAAAACAATCCTTTCTCTTTATATGTGAAGATCTTTGTATTTTTTATTCTATAAATTTTAGGTTTAAATATTTTCAATTATTAAAATTTTATAGAAAAAGACTTTACCATAGAAGCTTACTCGTCAATGTAAGCTCAGACAAACAACAATTATACGAAACTAAGAAGTCAGCACGCCTGTGCAGATAAATAAATGCTTTAAAAGATTTATGTCATGATTTTTTGACCAAAATTTTACGCTGGTTATCGACTACCAGATGCAATCCTCCACATGTGCAAATAAAAAAACACATCAAAAAATTAAAAAATAAGAACATGTCGGGTGTCATTGGATCAATAACGTATCTTAGAAAGACAAAAAGGCAAAGAGGCTCCTTGTGTGACCTGGATATCTCCATGTCAAAGCATTCATGGATGTAAAGGTAACAACGATGCAAGAATCCATGTGGCTTATGAGATTGCTTGGAGACAAACCAAGGCACCATTTATATTGTTATTATTTGCTTGTGATAATCAATGTGCAGTTCAATGGCATGGAATCGATGTTCAATGTATAAACAAAACACATCAAGGTGTTTCTTCACTTAATCATTGAAATGATTTTAGTTGAACTAATTCTTATTTGGGTTTTTTCGGAAGACAAACTTGCAAAAATATTTACAAAAGCTTCAGTGACAAATATTTTAATATTATAAAATACTCCCGGATTTATTTTAGCCCATATTAAAAGAGACTGGGACTAATTTGAAACTTTTATAGACTCTGAACTAAAATGTCTCAATGTAAATAGTCAAAAACTATTTTGACACTTTACTTGAAAGAATTAATAAGAATAATTTTGCTTTACTCCAAACTCCTCCCAAAACGATTTCAACAAATATAGCAAATCTCTTTCCAAAGTGATCATAAACGCCTGAACATAATAATCAACACTGTATTTTCAACAAAAAAAAAGAGCATTAATAAAAATAAAATCAAAAGGCAGTACCGTTTCCTCAATGGAGAAACCTTTTGTCCATTTTATAAGCGTGCCTGAAGAAAGTGAAGTCTGCCTCACTGGAAAAGAGAAAGTAAACCCAAGTTCTCTCTGCCTGCCTTCAGGAAATTTAAATTCCTCACTTTCAGAAGCAATAAAGTTTGCTACCCCTACAGCAATGAAATCAAACAGTTCCTAAAGCAAAAAAATAAATAACACAAATTAGAAAAGAAAACATAATTCTAATATAATTAAAAGAGCTCAATGCATCAAATTTTCACATACATGGGAGCTTCCGACCATCAAATGCGGTGGAATAGAGACCTCTTCAGCCTCTTGTTTCAAAACGCCGAGTTCCCTTCCTCCCAGTTGTACACGTAATACACGGAAATTAGTTCCTCCAAGGTCCAATGCGTAAAACAATCCTTTCTCATGACTATAACAGAATTAATTATCATTAATTATCTTTCGCTTGCTGCCTCTTCAAGAAAATGATTTCAAAAGCAAATGATTTCCAAAGCTAAATTTGTAAAAAACAAAATCATAGCCTTAAACACTTCACTGCTCCTTTTCATATTGGTAAGAAGAGCCTCGAGATAAAAAAAGATAAGGGAAATTTACATACATAACTCACAATTCTTATATTTTACATATCTCATATTTAAACCTTCAAATTTCCACACATAGCACTTTGGTGTTTTAAACCTATGCATGAAGGGGTATATTTCACTTTTAAAAAGTGGTAGAAGGGGTATATTTCACTTTTAAAAAGTGGAAGTAGTGTATTTTTGGTGCGATGTTAAATATATGAGTGCTATGTATGTAAATATAAAAGTTTAGGTGTGAGATATTAAATACATAAGAATTGTGTGCTTTGTATTTAAATCTCCCAAAAGATAAACCAATCTTTATTTCTTTTACATGAAAGTTATAAGAACCTTAAAAAGGTTTCCACATTTTTTATACTAAACGTAAATCAATAAAAGCCAAAATGCTTAATTTTACATATTAATGCGTTCTTCGATTATTTGAGGAAGAGAAGCACCTAGTAATTATTTACATATAAATTGAACATGATCAACTGAGAAACGCCGTGTGGATTTTGCCTTCTTAGGTTTTCCACATAAACACTATGTGTATTTTGCCTTCTTAGGTTTTCCACATAAACACTATGTCTGTGTGAGATCAAAAAACCTAAGGTAACAGAGTTAATTTCCACTTTATTGGCTCAATTTTCCACACAAAACATTGATAAATTATCAATGCAAACTCTCTAGCTTCATTAACATCTATGTGATGCTTCACATCCTACAGCTAGGAAGCACATACCATCTTCTTTGTTAAGTAAGTTTAGGGGCATGTACATACATACCACACAAATCTTATGCATTTACATATCTAACACCTAAACATTCAAATTTACATGTATACCACCCAATTCTTTGATATCAATAAAAAATACCACCATCACTACCTTTTAAAAAGTGAAGCACACCTTTTCATGCAATAGATTTATGACACCAAGCGTTACAAGTATAAATATCAAACTTTTGATGTTGGATATGTAAATACATAAGAATTGTGTGGCATGTATGTAAATTTCCTTAAAGTTTATGCTAAATGAGAATAAGTTACAAATGACAATGATAGATAGCTCTGCATTTGCTAGAGAAATTTATAGCATGTGGAGATCTAACTTTTTTATCGCATGATGTTATTTAAAAATTGCACTTCAACAAGCTCATTCATGTACAAAACTTAACAAAATAAATGTATTATGGTAGAAAAAAAAACTATATTTAAAAAACATTTTCAAAAAATGAAAGTTAAGGTCCAAAGTTGTAAGTTCAAGTTTAAGGACCCAGATTAAAAATAGAAGTAATAAGAAGTGAGACTAATGGGTCTGAAATCCTCCCATTTTCAAGAAGTTTTATCCTTGGGAACCAGTGTAGTGGAAGAAGAGGAGAAGTATTTGGGGAGGTCAGCCCCCCCAGAAAAAACTTTGAACTATGGCAATAATTTCACCCTTCACTATATGCCAGGCC